TCTCATTCGTAGTAACTTTTGTTGATTTACCAAATTCACTGCGTTTGCTTCCAGAACACAGTTTGGGTAGTCGGGGAATTTTATTTCTGAAAGATTTAGCTGTTTCCCGTCAATGATTTGTTTAGATACTGCTTGCGTTACTTTGTCTAATTCATATAGGAAGTTTGTAGATGTTAACGGTGGCTGGAACAAAGAAAACAAAATATTCCACTACAAACTAATCCATATAGTATCGAGACACCTCAAGATAAATAAAGTTAGGTCATGGAAAAACTTCCATTTTGAAAAAATCATGTTTTCAGAAAAATAAATATTTTTCCGGATATTTTTCGCATTCGACGTTAACACCTGTCAAAAGTTGACGTTACGACGTTACTGAACGAAAACGATGGAGACATATAAAGGTTTTTTCGCTGTTGTGAAATCATTTACTCTTTTCTCCTATGTAGCTTTTATACAAGTTTATTTTATAATTCACGCTAAATGACACTTCAAAAGATTATATTTATATAAGACTATATATATATTCATAGTGTTCGATCTTTGTATTAATGTAATTTCACAAAAAATAATTGAATATCAATTCAATAAAAATTTAAAAAATATATATTCAATTATGTTTTTTGTGTAATTACTCCACTACACATGCACATATTAATAATTCGAATACTCAGAAAAATTCATTCCGGCTGGATTTGAACAAGCACAATCGCCAGATGCTCTGCCAATTAAACCGCGGAACGAACTACCAGAACCAGATCTTACGAATTTTTCTGTTTCTTGCTGATCCTTGGTTGGTTAACGACTTTTTTGCCGTAGCGCCATCTGTGAGAAATTTATTTCTTCACTCAGACACCTTTACAACTACCATCGCTGACTATAGATAACGCCATAATTGTAATTTTTAAGTTGATTGAATGTTATGATGTTTTACTACCATAATATTCCATTTTTTTCCCGCAATTATCCGCCTTCGCATAGCTCACATATGTACTCGTGTTCTTGTGCTAAGATCCATGTTCGAGACCACTCCCTGTGCCAGTGTAGTCTGGCAGAAAGTTCCCTCGAGCACCTGTTTTTTTTTTCTGTAATCGTATCGTCACTCCTCCGTATGATATCCTCCCACCTAAAACCCCCGTGTTAGCTTACTCTCCCTTTGTGCATGTGCTGTGTAAATTTATTTAAAAAAAATTTGTTTCTGTAATAACCTGTGTAGGTTCTCTGTCGTTGTAGATTCTCGTCTTAGTGAATTCTGTCGAAATTAACTTTTTGAGTACAAACACGTGTGTTGCTCAACTTGACATTCGTGAAACCATCGATTACTTCGACATTTAACAGAAGATTTTTTTAATTTTTTCGTTAAAAACTTGCTCCCTAGGTGTGCATATCCCAGGCTACTACAATATAAAGGTTACATTCACCACCGCATTTTCGCATATCTTGAATCTTCTTTTCCATAAGATTCCTTAGTATAATGTGGATATTAAAAACCGGCTTACCTCTATGAAGATATATTAAAGTAACTTACATTTTGCGTACTCATATTGGGTGGTGGTGGTTTCTTTTCAAACAAAACCCTGTACATAGCATCGAGATCAAGATCGTCTGTTGGCTGCACTGCGAAAAGGGGACTGTCCCACCGGTTGTTACTGTTGGGTTCCTCAAACCTGGAATTTAATGGATAAATGTACATCTCAGCTATCATATATTAGTATATTAGGGAAACTGGAAAAGAAAATTTTCAGATGTAAGAAGGTGCCCCTTTGTCTCAAACAAAGAGCTTATGAGCAATGTGTTCAGCCAGTTATGGTATACGTGGTGTGGAATCTTGGACCCTCACACAGCAGTTCATCCAAAAGTTGCAGATAACCCAAAAAAAAATGGAAGACGCCATGTTGGGTGTCAATCTGAGCGACAGAATAAAAAATACAGAAACCCAGAGTCGCACTAAGCTATGTGATTTGGGACATATCGTTGCGCAAAGAAAGTGGCGTTGCGCGCATCGCGTAAGTCGATGACTGATGGAATAGAAGAATGCTGGAGTGGAGATCAAGTACCGTAGTAAAGATCCTCTAAAATAACAATTACCGTCAGACTATTTCAAAAAGTTGAAGAAACGTTAGAAGTGCCTATTTGTCAATATGATAATTGACGAGTCGAGTTCTTGATAGAATTGGAAACTTAAGACAGACAAAAAATGTGCATAGGTCACATCAAAATGGCTAAGACACCCATTCCACTAACTGCAACATAGTATCACTAAAAGCAACCATACCTAAGTCTTGTCAAAGCATCAAAAACTTCCTCACTGTAGGGCTTCAAACTATTGCCATTCTCCGACTTTTGGATTTCTCTTTCACTTATTCTCTTCTGATTGTCTTGCCACGCTTCATCATGATTTTTGATGGTGTACACTGTACATTGTGTGGATTTTGAAGCTTTTGACGCACAGTAAAGTTCGTAGCGACAACCTGTAACATAAAAAGAATCCAATTATTAAGAATAATATTTATCCGACAATCACACCTTCAACCAGAGAGTTCTCATTACCTTAATAACGAAATTAACATTGGTGGTATCACGGACAGTAGTTTTAAGTAGCCGTAGCGCTCCTTGTGAAAGAGTTCATCCAGGGAAGTACTGACACATTACCTATTTCCATCGGCGCCGCCTAGCAGTAACGTCAGCATTTCTGGTATGAGGAGGAGACCACTTTCATCCTCATCTCACCTGTTAATCACCGTTTTCTCTGGTTCCCGGCCACTTACTGTTGAATATTTTGAATAATTCTCTAATTCTTTTTCGTCGTCATTCTTACTTTGCTTCGTTCAGTCGTTACTCCATACAAAATTCTCGAGGCGAGCAGTCGTGACTTAATCATGTAACTTAACTGCTTATAAAGCAGCAATATATTTACAGGCCCTTTTGGGGTAACTTCACTTAATCATATAATAATAAACGAATACCTAAGTTCTAATCTGTACGGAGTGTTTTATATTACTGTACGTACTTACCTGTTTTTATGCCATTATTTTTGTTGTACCTATTTTGTGTGGATTTTACGTAAGTTTGTATCATTATTACGCAAGGTCTGTGTGACACTGTGTTCCGGTATTGAAGGGCAAAGGTGCTGGTGAAATTACAGATATATGTGACTTGTCAACTTATGTCTCACTGTCACGGGCACAGTTCAAAGCACTGAGTGGCATTGCAACTGTTATGGCGTTTAGCTAACACGCGACACATGATCAGGTGCACGACTTGTTTGTCCCGTCACTTGATATTATAATAAAAAAGCCAGTCCTCTACCCAGAGCATGCATGGGGGGAAAGAAATGGCTGCGCACCTCCTACTACAATGCTCCGGCGTGATCTACTACAGGGTGAAGTACCTTGGAGTGCCGCAGTCGCTCCCCAAAGTCTTCAGCAGATCCATGAAGTTGTTGAGATTTCTGGAGAGGTCATGTGGCAGAATTAGGACCTTGCACCTACCACATGCAAAATAGGCACCTGGATGTCAAGTTGCAAACACCAGCCTTTCACACCACATTGCACCACACAACTGCCTCCATGGCCGAACAGTTACCATGGTTACCGGGCTGCCACGCAGAGGTCCCAGGCTGGGAGAAACATTTGTATGGCCTACATTTATTTATCTCGTGAGTTTGGGTGTAATTTGTGGTTGTCTATGTGTATGTCCATAGCACCCATGACACAGGGTTTCCCTAGTGTGGGGCTATGTAGAGTGTGTGCATTATTATGATTATATTGAGACTACCCAGAACAATTTGAGCCGCAACAATTGAGAGACATTGTTTACCAAATTGGTAGTTCTGGGAAACCTGAGTCATTGTGATCTCCCAGCACCACAAAAACTGATAAATTCTTTTTTAATCTTGCAATGGTTAATTCGTTGCAAAAGTTATGCACTCAAAATATCTAACAATCATTCTCTGACTACTGTTCACTACCTAATTCCCGTGGCAATTTTTATTATTTATATTCAATTATATTATCATGTAATTATTAAATAATATTTCACAACACAATACTTGAATATTAAATAATATTGCACGATAAACAAATTGAATACGTAAATAATAAAATCCGAGAATGCTACCGCTACCGAATCTCTACTTCATTTGTTATATTGTACTCTAATATTAGTAATGAAACCTTGAAATGTAGGTAAGAAAAATTAGAAACCCAAGAGCAAGGGCCCTTTTCGGCTCATATAAAATCCTACATCCATACCAATGATTATAGGTACAGAGGTATTAGTGGCCCTTCATAACATACGTAAGTAAGGCCAAAATATTCTCCATAATAACAAAAACATTGCTTAACAACTTACAAATCATTTATTTCAAACTGACCTTTAATATAGTTGCTTCCATCAAGAATAACGACATTATCTTTACCAATAAGCCTTAATACTTCAGATTTCAAGTATCCTCTCACTCTTTTCTCCTTCTGAGAGTCTAAATACGTTTCGTTTTTACTATAACCTAATTTTTGTATAACCTCTTCTTCTGATATGGTTTCCACTTGTTTACCGTGTGTTTTCTCAAAGAATTCTTTTAATTGTTTCGCTCTAGTCGTTTTGCCGCTTACTGGTGTTCCGCAGATTATTATTAGAGGCATTTCTAATCCAATTTTCTCAATTTAAGTCAATAGAAACCTTCGTGGAGAAAGTAAATAACATGTCATTCATCAGTGTTGCCAGGACTCTTGGGTAAAAAGTTACTTTTAGTTGACTGAAAACTTGAGCATAGGACTGGAGATATTTGATGAGAGAGAGGGATATTTCTCAAACCAAACTTTTTAACACTTTTAGAGGAAGGGGGGGTATTGCTATAAGCAAGCAGGTATGCAATATTGAGTTGTGTCGCTATAGCCTCGCACAAACAAAAGTCGAAAACACTATAGTCCATCTGTTTAGGTACTTAAGTAAATGTAAACAATCTTGAGATGTCTATTTAATGAAATATACATTTATAAAACGATTTTCCCTTACCTTCAAATACAAATACTTAGCTTCATATGAAATTGCATGCCTATTTTTATACCTATTGATTTGTAAAGCATGTGTTTCAATAAAAAGATGTATCAAGATTGTTTACATTTAGTTAAGTACCTAAACAAATGGACTATAGCCTATTTTTAGAAATACCCAGAGAAAACACACGTTCATGTCATGTCCGTACACAGAATAGGCCTAAAAAATCGATGGGGTCGATATGTATTACGTATTGGTTGATGAAATATAATTTCACTATTGACTAGCTAGACTGGATGTAGCGGATTTCTTTTTGCAATATTGTATGACGCAGTGCAAGACGACATATTCCGTATAGCACTTGATGCGGTGAATTCGATAATGGAAATGGAAATGAAAAAACATGGATTCGGAAGTAGTGTCTATTGTGCGATGGATTTTTTTTGCTTGTATTGACAAAGGGGACTGCCTATCGATAACGCCTCTAGTCCTATATGCTCTAAGTCTGAAAAGTTACATTGTGTCGCTTAAGTGCATTCGTGTACTATTTAGAATTTACAATATCAAATATGGTTCTTTTAAAAAAATACTCAAAGTTCTCAAAAATTACGAAAACCTTAAAAGCGAAAGTTATCTGATTTCGGATCAGGACTCAGAACGTAGGCGTTATCATCTTCATTTCCTGCGGTCGCCATTGGGTACTCGGGTAATCGAAATCAAACAATCGCCGTGCCAACTTACAATTATATTCTTTTCATTATAAGCGAAAAGATCAAAAGTTACGAAATACGTAAGAAATATCTGGCAGCACTGCAGTTCACATTTATTTTTTTTATTAATAGATTTTATGGCTCCGGGTGATTGGCACTTTAACGCTAAATAATTGACATTTACAGTTGAAATGCTTTGACTTTAAATTGGATTCTCATGTCATACCAGACTTGCCAGGAGAATGTAAAATTCACGTTATTTTAGTAACATATTTTAAAAATTACCAAGTTGTGCGATCGTATGCCTTTGAGTGTATTTGAGTCTGGTTACGGAGCCATAAGGTTCAACTCACACTGGCGCAGAGTCGAACCGTCGCTACGCGTCACGTTTTTCGCCTATAGCATTTTCATCTATATTTTCCCATAATTAAGGTACAAATTTGTGTTTTGTAAATATGGAATCGAGCGGCTTCGCGCGTCGCCAGGCGGTGTAGTTGAAAAACAGGACGCGACGCGACGCTCTGACTCTGCGCCAGTGTGAGTTGAGCCTAAAGGTTCTTTTTACAGCCGATATCATTCAACTCATCATTTTAGTTGATTTTAAAACAAAGTAATATTGACTCGATTGCAGAAATAAGTACCTAAGGTAGCTGGCAGTACTTACCTCTGACTATGGAATTTTTTTCCATCCTCTAAGGTACTTACGGACGGACTCTCACAAGGAGCTCTACTACAAAACATATGTATGTATGTTTTTGTGTGTTATTACGTCCATAGCAATGCGCGTTCGGAAACGGACGTGCCACGACGAAGTGAGTTAATTACACCTAACTCGTGTTTCGAGCGGCACAAGCCGCTGCGCGTAATTGACAATGAGTTCCCAGCAACTCATTGCCAATGAGCTCCTGGCGTTCATTATACACGCTATCGACACCATGGATGAAGTCAGCATAGTGCAGATATGCAAATCAAATTTCAGTGAAGATGAGATTTGCAGAGTGGCAAGATGCTGCTTTTCCAGCGTCTCGGTAAAGCCGAGGAGATGCCATCTCGCCGGAGGGATGGAGGCGTGAAGAGTCTCCAAGACATAATCACGCTGCTGAAGGAGACTGACCCGGACGACGTGCCTACATTCGTGGCGAAGGAGCTGCACAAGCTGCCCCCCGTCACGTTCGACCACGTCGATGTTACTAGGCTGCTGAAGGACATTACGTCCCTGAAGTCTAGCCTAGCCGAAGTACAGTGTAAATTAGAGGCTTCGGATAACATCATAAGTGAGCTGCGTACCCAAGTTGCGTTATTAAGCTATGCTGTTTCGGTATGTAGGTCACCTGAAGCCTCTAATGTAAACACACGACGCGGAGCAGCGCTGAATGCCTCGGCCAGCAGTTTCGAGTCGGCACACAATGCGTCACCATTCGTTGCTGCCACCGCGCATGATGCGCCGCGCCCCGCTGCCCGCCCCTCTGCCTCGGTGGAAATGTCACGCGTGTGCACGTCAACCCCGACACGTGCATACGCCGCTGTAGCCGCTGTAGCCGCTTCAACTAGCCGACCCGCCACTTCGAAATTCGAACGGCGGCAATCGGCTAAGGATAAAAACAATTTCCGTGTGCCTGTCTCTGAAGTTGCAAAACCACAGAGGCAGACGGTCCAGTGCGACGAGGATGGCTTCACAAAGGTGGTGAAGAGGAAGCCCACCAGCCGTAACCAGTGTGGCACAGCTCCGACAGGACCGAACTTCCTGCTGCGTCCGGCCGTACCGACGACGTTGATGTACCTGTCGCGGCTGCATTACTCCACGAAGTCTGAGGAGATAGTGGAGTATATCAGGCATAAAACCAAATACACCCTGAGGGTCGAGCGGTTGGAGTCTCGCCGCAACGTGAACTTCAATTCGTTTGTGGTGAGAATACCGACCGAACATCTTTCGACCTTCATGAAAGAGGAATTTTGGCCGAAGGGTGTCATATATCGGCGATTCCGCGGCCGGTTACCTGACACCAGATTGCGCCACACGTCGCCGATAAGGGAAATCGTGTAGATTAGTTTTTATTATTATATTGTATGTATGTTTGTTTTAAGGTGTATATAATATAGGTGTATTTTGTTTTTATATTGTTATGTATGTTAGTCTATAAGGTATGTATACATGGGTCTTTGTTACCTGATATAAATAAATAAATAAAAAAATAAATAAAAAATTACAACACAATAATTTGTGACTGCGACTTGCTCTAAGGACTGTGATTATTTAATTTTGTAACATTGGAATCCAGCTAACCAAGTCTTAATCGATTACTTTACTAGTGTTGAGGTGTAGTAAATAAATGATATTATGTCCAAATAAATTTTAATTCGAAATATTATAAGTACAGCGTTTGGTGTACGAACACCAGGTACGAACCTTTGATTGATTTTTTAAATATAGTTATGAATTTATTTCCTTATTTATATCACAATATTTTCGTAAAAACATATCAAACTTAATAACAATGAAAATTAATAGTAAGGAACTAGATAATGGGTACATTCATTTACATTTTTACTGACAAATCTTAAATATAAATCCGTAAAAAGAATAATAACTCCTATGCCAGAGTCAGCTACCATATGTAAAAAAATATTATTCTCCACTAAACCTAATGACACAGATGCAGTACGGTACCAAGAAGTAAATCCAAAGAATATTATCCAAGTATGCAGGTTATTTGTAAAATACTAACAACCTCGAATGACTGTGTTACTAACATCATAGACAACAACTTTTCTTCCATGAATTTCAATAATTCATCAGATTTTACCGTCTAAACTTTTACGATCCGGTGGTAACTCTGTGCGGTAGCAAAAGAAAGCACGCGAGACGCGTTGCTAAACAATTGACTACCAAACAGATATAAAAAGTGTCAGATGCTATAATAAAAACTTAAAAGTTTGTTTTTGGTAAACTAATTATGTTTTATAAATTTATCATGGAACGAAAGTTGTTGTTTATAATATAATCATGTGTGTAAATGTAGATACATACATAGGAAATACAGATAAGGAATGAGTTTAAAGGCCGAAGGTTCTACATATAATATAATTAGTGTCATTCATTGAGTACATAACCAGAAATAGAGACGAAATGTCATTTAATTTGTTTGAAAACTATTCTGCCAAATTATTACGGTGACAACTGCGTTCCGATTGGCCAGCCCGAATGGGTGTCGTCAATTGTTTCACTTCAAATCGACCAGTTTAACTTGAGCTTTGCTATAATGGACGAAAATTGCAAAATTACATATTTAGTATTTAATTGCCGATGAAATGTGATTCCGTTTTTTTTTGTAATTAGATGTTTTGCTGTTTTTCCCACACCACCAAAGGGGTAGTTATGGGTTATAAGAGATATTATCTTTTTTACAATAAATATAGAATATTTTTAGAATATACGGAGACGTACAGTTTTTGGCGCTGTACTATTTAAGTTTTCTAATTAGTGATTTCAGCGCAAACGAGAGTTGATATTTAAAAGTTATACAAGGCCCACTTATTTGATGAGTTGCCAGGGATGGACGGCCTTCATTTCGTCTATATTTCTGGTTATATACTCGATATTAATAAAAAATAATTCTTATTCAAGTGAGATAAACTAGGGCAGTGATTCAAAATTTACATGAGATGTTTCATTTTAAAAAAAGGAATAGGATGACGGCAAAATTCGCCTTAGTACTTATACAAAACAAGTACTTCGAATGAAAAAAGCATTGTAAATTAAAATTACAGTCCACGCATGACTAGTAAACAAACAAACATCATCCCAGCCGTACTGAAAACAGAACTGGCAGCAGACGGTTCCCCGTCTTCAATAACGTTAGTTTTAACGACGCGTTCCATTTCATCGATAATTCTCTTTTCTTCGATAGCTAGAGTTGCCGCATCGTTGATTGTTCTCATTATGTTGTAGTTAGGGTATTGTTGTTCAGGAATACGCAGATGTAGTTTTCCGTTTGATGTTGTGTAGTGTGAACGTTTATTGAGGCCGTTAGCTGGAAATATAAATTATTTAAAAAATTTTTTTTTTAATAGAGAATACAAAAAGTCTGTCAGACGTCATACTAACATCGGAGCTGTGTGTATTATGGAATTAAATTAAAATTTTAAAAAGTAGCCTAAAAAGTCATCTGTCATCAAGATCAATTTCATGAGGCCAGATACGATTGTTCCGGAGGTCTTCTCTCGATCTCCGTCCGAAACAATTACTGCCAAATAAGCAATACTTGACCAAATGAAAAGACGCGTGACGCGAATGAAGCTTCATTCTTGATATTTGTCTTTTAATTTTGTCGAATATTACTTATTTGACAGTAATTGTTTCGGACGGATGTCGGACGGAGATGGAGAGTAGACCCCCTGGTATGACTAGTTATCATATTAATATAATGTCGTCGGTTTCCATAGAACATAGAACAACAAATTCTATATTGAAGCGAACAAGTGAAAATAAAATAAATATTCATTTTATGACTGATATTCCTGCACTAAATAGTTTTATTTAACACCGTAGATAAGCTTATAACAATATGAAAGCTTCAATTAATGCCTTTTTTAAATACATCTATTTATTACTAGCAAAAGTTTTCTTGCTTCGGGACAGACTAGGGCGTCTAATTAAACATACTGATAGGTCTCAGACTTTATCTTCACTAATTTGATTTTCTGTCATTTTTTCGCAAGAAACCGTTGTCGCCTTTACGGTGGCCATTTTGAAACTATTTTCCCTTTACTTTATTTCACTTTCGTACGGTCTTGAGTTTTTTGCGTTTAACTATTGACATTTACGTCTGCTGATTACTCTGATCTACTATAGGAAATTTGTATGTTATTTTTTATGAATCTTATATTTCAAGTTTTATATCGATTGGAAAACTACGTTAAAGCGAGGTAGTTCGACAGCCATCTTCCTTTTTGATATCATACTATTATTTATTTATTTGTTTTTATTTTTCAGAAAATAACTCCGCTCTGACAATCTCATCAATCAATCAAAATCTCTGACAGATGTCGCTACGGGACGAAAGCCGAAAACTCGATGCAAAGATTTGTAACAGTCACATAGAAGAAATTCGTCGACTTAGTCCGATCTTTATATTTCGATATTTAATATTTATAATACAACATATTAATATTATTTTTTTTTAAACAAAACAAAACTCACAATCAGGCAGCTGTAAGTTCTGCAACGCTTCTGTTAATACGGGGTCCTCAGAAATTTGCTTGTACCGGTCTTCAAAGTCCAAGAACGCATTCTTCTCTGGTCCACATAGTCCTTTGAAGTCATCTGTGTCTATACTCCACACCATGAGACCGCCAAGACCGTAGTCTATTGCCATTCTGAAAAAGTAGTATCAGTGTTACCAACGTATCTGTGGCGGTGTTACCACACCAACCGATCGCTACTAATAATAACACTAACGCACACACTCGTAGCCATACTAGGGAAACACACACAGACAGAGAGAATTAAATGTAGTCCATACACATGTTTCTTCCGGCCCGCGAATCCAACCAGGGACCTCTGCGTGGCGGGCCAGCTTGGTAAAATCGTTCGGCTACGGAGGCAGTTAAAGTCGATGTCAAATCCATGCTATTAATCGGCGTTTGTCGATTGGTTTGGGTAACAATAAGTAATATTTTCATTATTCTACAGGACATGTTACAGGATATATTATGAGGCGCTAAGAGCAAAAATGGTGTAACCCTATTTTCGCATAGGAGATATTCGGCTTCGAAAAAAAGATACTGAGTATCCATCGATATTTTTAAGGAATATGAGTATATTGACAGCAGTGTATTTAGGAAATGAAACTATTGCTTCGGATCCAAATCGTCGGGTGATTTTTAAATTCAATGTTCAAAACAGTGCCAGGTGTAACATTTTCTTAAAATAAGTAACAAAATTATTATAATGACATTAATACAAATGGTTAAATAATAGTTTGTAAATATTGACGATAGGGTCGACGGACTAAAGCACATTAGTCAAAATCCAACATCATTCATTTATATTAATATATCTACCAGATAAAGGACATAAGTAAAAATAATTTGTTACTTCATAAATTTGTAAGTTTATTTTAGAGGCGTCTTTTTGAAATTTATCATTCTCTTCACATCTTCCAACACTATAAACAACATAAAAAATATATAATTATAAATTAACAAATGAAGCACTTTTTTGACTTATGTGCTTTAGTCCGCCGACCCTACAAATAGTGTTACGGAAATGTAACGTTTGTTTGTTTTATTTCAATCGGGCTACGTAAAGAACTTAAACGTTCGTGTCATATGTAGCTAGAATAAAGATTAAAATGGCAACACTTGCTACTTGCTGCCACCATCGCGATACGAAAATTTGTTTCAACCTCTTTTCTAATTTGTGCCTCTTTTATCAGCTTCGTCAGCCGTGCCAAACCATCGCAACAGCACTTACCTAAGTAGGACAAGTGCCATGGCAACGCATAGCTTAGTACACTGTATACAATTACTATAATAAAATATTTTGTTTTAAGCTAGATTAAGATTGTAATTTTGAACATGATATAGTTAGGCTGGCATTTGAAATAAAATATTTTTCATCACACTTACTCGTAAACAGCGTTGCCAATGCCAATTGTTCAAAATCCCCAAAAATCACGGTTAAACTCCCCAAATTTGGGGAGAAGCAAAGTTTATATTCTCCACATCTCGAGTTTTCATTATTTATTACAAATACATCGCTTAAAGATATAATTAAGAATTAACAAACTCAAAATGTAACCATCTACTACGTTTGCTGTGATTGTAAACGGAATGTAAAATATAAAACAAATTATAAAATTAGATGACCTAAAATCGTTTATTTATTTTAATGACATTCAACATTAATAAGTCTTTAAAAAAATAAATTCTTTGCCTTACAAAATTAAGTAACTTAATTATTTATTGCGCATTTAGTGACACTACGTTAAGTAATGTTAGAAATAATCAATGAGTAAATTAAGATTCGACCTATATTTAATAATAGGGGTTAAAGTATGAAATTGCCGATTTGTACTGAAAATCTA